TCGTGCGTATTAATCTTACAGCAAAAGTGACTGTTTCTAACCGCACCTTTAATCAGAGATTTAATGAAGACATTTTTGTTTTGTGTTACAAGAAAATATTAATAATTGATATTGCACAATATGGGCAAAAATCTAAAACTTCATAAATTTAATAAATATAAATAAAAATATTTTATTATGATTTTTTCTTTCAATAAATAGTAGGGAATATGGGTGATGGAAAAAAGTTCCATGATTTTTATAAAGTAGTTCCATCAATTATGCAATTCAAACCAATATTTTTTTAAATAATCATTAAACTTGAAAATTGAAAACCATCTTATTTTGCACATTGTTTCTAAGATACATTTAGTATGTATGTTATTAACTTTTATTCTTAAAATAGTTTTTAGTCAATACAAGAAATTAACATTTTATATGCATTGTTGTTATAAATACATATACAGAAAAATATCATTAGATGCAATTAAACAATATACATAAAAAATGCATAACTCAATTTATTAAATGAGATTCACTTCATTTATTTAAAATTATTAAAATATCTATATTTTATTCAGTTATGAAGTTCTCTAAGAAAAATCTACGAATAGTGTAGTTTTTCAATGAATTTATTTAGTCGAATACGACTTTTAGTGCTTTTGATGGAGGTAATTTATTTTTCATTATTTTATTTTTGTTTAAAATGTATTTATCGCACAATTTATCAAGAATTTTTTAAATTATCTAGCAGAAAATAAAAAAAACATTTTATCTGTTTGAAAGACTTAACACTATATACTACCTTTGGCTCTTAGTCTCATAAGCATTTTCTATTAAAAATAATTTGATAAAACTTCAATAATATTTAAGAATATATAAAATAAATAAATATTCTAAATTATTAATAGGAAAATATGCGTTGAATGATTTTTTAGGTATTAGTTGTCCAGAACAACTAGAATAATTATATCAAATGGTCCTTTTTTTGGGAATTTGTCCTCTATTTCTAGAACTTTTTTCAGTCCAAATCAAAATTTACCATTTTATATTTAGATAATTCTAAGTGTAATGATAATCACAAATTTCACTACAATCATTAATATGCTAATAATAATAATAGAAATATCATATTAAAAAATTGTTATAAACTGAAAGTGTTAATGATTTTACTTTCAGTATATTCCTGACTTCTTGGGATGCAAAATGCTTCAAAAAAACTATTGATTTCTATAATTATTGGAAATACTAAATAAAGAATTTTTTTACTAATGACTATTCATATAATGATAATTAGTAAAAATAATTAAATAAAATTACTTAAATTAATAAATTAAAAATTCACTGGAATCACATATAAACAATTATATAATTGGTACATAATGTATATAAATGGACTCTAAAAAACAATAATTAAATATTTCATTAAATTATTATGTATCTAACTAATTTAAAAAAAACAATAGAAAATCAAACATCTTGCATAAACATGTAAACAAACCATCAATATTTATTATTTATATAATTCATTCTTATTAAGAAAAACCCATAAAACCCATTGATGGGTTTTTTTCGTTGCCTATTTTAATTTTTCAATTCACCACACACGAATGGGCACGTGCTTCGATAAAAACAGCGTTTTAATTACATTTATGTATGTAATTAAAAATTAAAATTAATGATGATATATTTTGGCGATTTTTATTCTACAGTATGGAACAATAAAAGACTTTGATCGTTAGCCTTGCCTCAATGAAAACAATTGTTTTCGTGTGGGCCCTCGTATTAATAATAAAACCATAGAATTTACATAGACAAGGTTACATTTATTGAATTATTATAATTTAATATTATTAAATGTGTAATTGGTGTTGAAGCTTTTTTTTCGTATATTGTCATGCATCGGTGCTTGGTGACGAGTGGTTTTTGTGACCTCAGAAAAAAATATATGGGACTTATAGAAATATATAGCGCATTTATAAAATTTATTTGATATGGATAATACAATAATAAATGTTTTGCTCCATAATATTTTGAATTTTTTGCAAAATTTTTGCATGATGGAAATATATTTTATTGAAATATAGTTTAAGATTTAAAAATAATATGAAATATAGTTTTTTTTTTAAGTGAAATATATGCTTGAACCAACTCACAATTATTTTTTGTAACTTGTGATTGTTTTCTATTACAAAGATATTGATTTGATATATACCCACAAAAAATGATTTCAATTGAATTAAATTAATTCATCCGTTCATTTTAACTATCTTAAATAAATATATAAATAGTTATATAAAAACCAATTGAAATATCACCTTTCTGATTGATTTTAACAGTGCACAAAATAGATATCTTTTACGAGATCACAATCTCCAGTTATTTAATAAATCAAACGTCTATTAAAAAATCAAGATCTCTTCTATAGATACTTCCTAATTTGGATTGAAGTCTATTCATCGTGTCAAAAAATAACATTATCATTGTAAATAATTTTTCATCTGTTCGTGTATTCATATAACCGTATTCAAATCTTCTTTTGTATATATATATACAATTTAAATACTTATCTTCTGAATGATCCAATCTCAACTCTTTCATAACTTTATTTGATTCTACATTGAGTCTTTAATAATTTTATGTCTCGTATCTTTCTAAGCAAATTATTCATCTTTTGATTATGTCGTCTTGTGTAAGGAAATATCATCGTGACAATAATTAAGGTCAAGGATTTTCGCTCCTTATGCATTTACATGAATGCTCGTTTCTTTAGATTATCAAGTGATCATTTTAATAATTAATTTTTGCCTTAAGTGGATATTGTTACTTTTTGTCCTGAATTAGGCAATTAATGAATGAGTTTAATTTGTTGTATTAATGCCTCAACTCTATATTTATCACTATATTGCCACAATGTTTTTGCACCAGATGTTTTATTTTATTTTATTTATAAGTTATGATTATAATTTATTAATTATATATTATTCCCTTTCAGGTGATTCAACAAGACGAGGCAGCATCAGCCCTGCGACTACAAATAGTGGCGCCAGAGATGATCACCTGATGGCATTATTGGCCACCAGGAGGAGAGCACTCATGAGTAACAGGCATCGTCCAGTAGAAGAAATAACGACAGCTGCACAAAGACTAAGTCCTACTTATGTGCTGCCAAAAACAAAATTCAACTCAACAAGGTCATATAATAGACCAGACATACGGGTAATGTTAAGGAATGCCACCGATTCATCGACCAAGCGAAGAGAATTCAAACCAGGCAGTTCAACCAGAACTACGAAGTTACCAGATTTGAAACCAAATGAGTCAATTATCCGAGTTCGTAATGAAACCGATGACATATTTGAAGTAGATGAGTCAAACCAAGGACTTTTTGTAGTAAATCCAAAAACGTTGGAATATGTTCCGCCTAATGATAGTGTGCCACCTAATTCCAATGAAGTATATGGCCCAGATTCGAGACCTAGAATTTCCAATTTGAAAGACCAATCTGAAGAACAGGATTACGATTTAGCATCTTTTCAATATTTTGGTCAGAAAATTTCTACTCCTAGGTCCAATGAAACCAGAAGCAATATATATCGACATAATGTACCCCCTGTGGTACGATGGAGAACTAATATTACGAAAACATCACGAGAAGATGACTCGTCAGATATGATGGACATTGGTGTAGCGAGAACTTCTATAGAGCAAAATAAAATTCGACATTTGAAAATGACTGCACAAAATAGAAGACTTGCTTTATATAATAATTTATATAGAAAATCCGGTGCTACTAGACTAGTTCCTGGTAAAGGTAATTTTACACTTGCTAATGATACGCAAAGCAATGAATCAATTATTACTCGCTCACGAATTAGCAATACTAATTTACCAATGAGAGAAGCAATCAGAACTTTGCCTAAAATAGAAACAGATAAGTTAAACATACAAAGCAATACTGCTGATATTTCTAAAAATATACTGCTCTACCTGACACAACCAGCAAACCGACACCATCCACTACCACTAAAAGATCTGTGTTCGAAAATAAACAAACACAATCATTTAATATTCCTGAAATAGGCTCTAGTAGACCAATCATTTTACCAAATCCTAGTGGAGTACCATGGAAAGCTGAAGAAGAAATTGTAGGTACAACTGAGGGAACAACTGAGTTTTTAATTATAATTCCTTCAGTGGTTTCTGATGATGATGGTGAATCTTATCGTAATTCCTTCAGTGGTTTCTGATGATGATGGTGAATCTTATCGTAACGATTTTGAAGATAGTAATAAAACTGTCCAAAAAGAAGAGCCGCCGGTTTATGTAACGACAGACATAACAACAAACACAATTCCAATTAGTACCTATACTACAAACATATTGAAAAATATACCCATCAGTACTACATCCACTACATCCACTACATCCACAACAACTACACCACCTCCAAGTACAACGCCAGAACCAAAGGACATTGTCCTTAATAATAAAACTGATATAAAAAACAATTCAACGAAGGATGAGAAATCAGAGAAAGAAAACATGAATGTAACAGTTGTATATCGAACTACTTCAAGTTCAAATAATAACACTTTAGTTTCTGGATCCAAATTATCTACAACAGAAAAAACAAATACACCTTCAGCAATTCCCAGTACTAGTCCTAAAATTCCTAGCATTATTTTTGAAACTACGATACATCCCAGTAGTACAAAGAGCACTCTTCGAATACCTGCTAATATAACAGAGAGCATATCACATAGTAATTTCAGTTCTACTTTATCAAGCACAATACCAGCACCAAAACCTACAAGTTCAGCAAAAGTTAATTATATGGACTACGCAGCTTCAAATAAAGCACCATCTTCCTTACCATCTAGCCTTGAAACAGAAAATCCTGTTACTGCAAAAAGTACCAGAAACAGATTTGTAGCAGCTGTAAAGGAAAACAAACACATAACTTTATGTTTCTGGATAAGTTTACAACAGAAAGTGCTGAAATAAAACCACAACAACTTATGACACAATTCTCCGGAATAACAATGAAGTTATAATGGAAATACATAGGATAAACTTTGCCACATACGTTTTGGCCGGACTGGGACTGGTACCAGTTATTCTAATCACAGTTTACGTTGTAGTAAACCTGCTTAACAGAGCCAAAAAGTTACCTGAAGATTTGGAACATTGTGCAAAAGACAGCACCCCTATAGCCAACACTGCCGTTGATGACGATTGTGATCTATATTCTGTTACTAGTGAATATCATTTCGATAGGACGAATTTGAGATTCAAGAGTATTTTGGGAGAAGGTAATTTTGGACAAGTGTGGAAAGCAGAAGCTGATGATCTTACAGGTCATTTTGGGTCTACAAGAATTGTGGCTGTGAAAGCAGAGCGGGATGAAGGTGGTCCAGGATTGAGAGCCGAGGCTGAAATTATGAAGAAATTGGGGCAGCATATTAATGTTGTGACATTATTGGGATTGTGTATGGAACAAGGTAAGATATAAATGGTAAACTTACAGACATAGTAACATCCAATAATACATCTTTATTTGCAATGTAAAGAATATCGAAACATACATTGAATTTGAGAAGCTTTTATAAACAGGTATTTGGCTATATCAAAACATTTATTCTACAATGAATAAATTCTATTAGATCAAGATAAATCAAGCAAAAAGTGATATACAACAGGTTTAAATATTTTATGTTCTATCAATTACCTTATAAACAAAAGTTCATACAATTTGCCTCAAAGCAAAAAGCCACTTACATACAAAAAGCTACTTACCTTCTTTGTAGACCCAGTTTTTAATTAAACTTAATATTTATTAAATTTAATCAACATTAAAATTAATATGAAAATAAAAAGTTGACATAAACTATTATCAAAAGTTATCTCGGAAATAGGTAATTATATTTAGAATTATTTTACAGATTATAGATTATTATTTCGAATTAAAAATTTCAATTTTTTTATTATATGCATCTATTTTAGTCATTATAGAATGATATTTCATAGATTACTCTAAAATTAGAATATAAATGCATGTAAATGATTTAAATAACTAAATTTTTGAACAGGAGACTAAATAAATCCATATTTGACTAGTGGTGTATGGCATCGTGCCTTGAGGCAAATTGCTGGAACTTCCCGTACTGAATTACATTTTTGAAAATTAAAAAAAAAAGAAATATATTCCCTAAAACAATCGTTTTTTCTACACAAGAAAAGTCATTCAAATCATATGCTTCTTTTTCTCTAGTTTTTGCACATTTGGCTCGGTAACTCCGAAATGGCTTGACCTGCCTTTACCAAAAACTAATCACTACTTCTCCCCATCTGTTCTTTTAAAAACTTGGTTTCTATTTTCTGCACTCTTTGTTCTTTATCTCCGTAACTGTTTTACCTGCCTTTGCCAAAAACTAATTAGCTCATCTTCCTGTCAATAGGAATCGAATGTTTTTTAAACCATTCAAATCGGTTGATCCGTGCGCCCGAAAACGTGACTGGAAATTTGTATCCATACATACATACACACACACATCCATTTTTTCTGAGGTATGCCAAAATGTTCAGCAACCTTCGAAACGTCGAGAAGTGTAAAAATTTTCAATTTCAATTTTCGGCCCATTACAATTACTTACCCTACGGGAAGTTAACAAATTGACATAAGGAGTTAATATAAAATAATGAATAGTCGATATAAAAGATAATATCAAAAGTTACGTTGGAAATAATTAATTTATTATAACTTAATATAGTAGTTTAGTTTCTAATACAGATTATTATAGAATGATATTCTATAGATATTTGACAAATTAAGATATAATTTTATGCAAAACAATAATAGACGTCCATCCTAACCAATTAGCATATCGAGTATACCTCGAGGGCCAGCCGACTAGACTTAAAAGAAAAATACTTGGAAACCTAATATAGTTTAATTAACTATAATACTTTCATTTTACTATATTTAATGTTTTTGTCCTTTAGCTTTTAGTTTTTTTTTATTAAAATATTTTAATTAGCTCTAGTAGATACGCCACTGGGAGTATCTATAAATTTGTAATCAACTAATTTACCATATACTTGTCAGCATTCTTTACTTAATATAATAATATATACAAATTGTAAAATAAAATTGAGTATATACAAAAATGCAAAGCATACAATCGACTAATGTGTGAATAGTAGACCAAATAAATTCGTATTAAAAAAAAATTACATGCATCACCCGAGATGCATAGATATAAGTGCAATGAGATGCAAACAAGACGTTACATAATTTACAAATAACAATGGGCAATAAAATTATATCTGTATTAATAATACACGGATATAAAACATATGTATTATTATTATTAACACATGCAATGTATATTAACATAATTAATATTCTAATTCCAGTATTCGTATTACCATTTAATTATGTTATTTCAGAACCTCACCTACTAATAATGGAGTACGCAATGCGCGGCCGCTTGCTGAGTTTGCTCCGAGCCTGCAAAGGCCCTGATGGAATTCGCGAAGAGCGCGATCGAACGCCTCCTATTGCAAATATCCAACTGACCGGCTTTGCTCTCGACATAGCCAAAGGAATGGAATACATTGCTGCTAGAAAGGCCAGTAATAGTAATAGTAATAGTAATCTATATTATTTATAAATAATACAACGCGTGCAACACACTTTTACTTTCCGACAAATGCATTGTGACTTCAAGCACTTTCCAACTTGTTCGCGATTCGTCATAGTTATCATTTTTTTTAGTCATTACTCTTCAGATATCATTACTTTACTTTTTACAAAATTTTTTTTTTTAATTAATATTGTTTTATATTAAATGTCCAGTCCGTGCTCCAAAAGACGTATTTTTAGAATATTTTCATCAAACTGTACTTTTACTTTCTGAAGCTACTTTCAAACTGGTTGGATGTGATCTACTTTACACATATTAATCGTTTTTGCTAATATATTAATAAAACAAAATTCGTAGTCTAGACGGTTACTCTAGAACGATTTCTATTAAAATTCATGACCATTTTTACCATTTATGTTGCGAGAACTAGAATGCAGGCGTAAGATTTTGAGAAGTAATTTATATTGATATTCATGTGATAGTCATCAGTATATAGAAGATAAATATAAATTGGTAGTTTTATATCCAAATTAAAATTTGTATACACTTTTAAATTTTTACTCTGTATAGTTTTTCGCAAGTAATTTTGAACGTTATAATTACAAAATTATAATTTTTCAGAATAGCAATACTTTAACCCTTTCCACTCGGATGCCGCAGCTCCGTCGGCAAAATTCATATAAATCTCACAATTCTCGAATGGAAAGGGTTAAAATATGAGATTTTATTGTAAACGGTTTGGATGTGATTTAAGTTTAGCATATTAATTATTTTTGATATTATATTAATAAAAAAATTCGTAGATCAGACGGTTACTTTAAAACGATTTCTATTAGAATTTATTAGATTTTGAGAATAGTCATTTATTGCATATATAGATCTTGAATATAAGTTGCTAATTCTGTAGCAAAATTAAAGTTTTGTTAACTATAAGAGTGAAATTTCTAAGGCTTACCTTGTAAAAATATTATTTTTAAAAAAGACACTAAAATGTAAACTCTGATGGGATATAAAAAAATCTAGAATAATTCTAAATTACCCCTAAACTTAGCTTGACAAGATTGCATATGAGAGCAAAGAAATGGCAAAATTACATTGGATTTAATTAAATATAAATATTTTCCAAAATGATACATTTTCTACCACACTATTGTTAATATTTCATCATAAAATTTTTTTGAATCAATTTTGTAGTATAGAAAACATGCCATTTACATGTTTTCACTATATAATTTTCTAGATCTACCTCTCTTATTAGACGAAGTATGAAAACATTTTTCACCTCTAATAACATATTATACATAATAAATCAAAGTACGTCAGCAGGATATACACGTCATGAATATCATATTATTACAGATAATTACTAAAGTTTCCAAACAATACCTTTAAGAATATGCAAAAAAATCGACCTTTTTGAAGAGCTATTGTTATGTGTCTATAGTACAATCCTAATATATAAATGGATATAGAAAATTCTCTATATGGATTTTAAATAATTGTATCAAAATAAGAAGAAATTTGAGAATGCATGTACCTAGAATGTTCTGTGTTATTTAATTAAGTGTTATGGCTTGTAGACTATTGTAGCACGATTCCCATAAAAATATTAATAAATATAAATCTGCCTAAAGACAGGTCCATGGTATGCGATGATCAGAAATTAAAGATTCTCGTTTCTTTCCTTGTTTATTATTCTCATTACAAATTTTATTTACCTTAATCACCTTTTTGCACTCTTATAAATTTATGATTCTTTCCAAAGTTCTGCTTCCATGTTTCCTAATCCTGTGCTTCGTTTACCTATTTCTTATATTTTTACCCAATTTAAAAAAATCACTTCTATAAACAATTTTGCATTTCAATTCCTTGAGAAATGCAGTATTCATTGGATCAATATAGACTTGTCCTTCCTAATAAGCCAAAGATTATCGCTGCAATCGCTTGTTGCCATTATTATGAATGATTCACAAAAATAGTTATTTAATCTATAATTAATATCAAGTACCACATGCATATAGTTTTTATTGTATATATCATATTGAGTCATGCACAATAAATATTTTCTAATTATCGAAGAGAAGGTTGCCCACGAGTATGCATAAGAACAATAGATTTACCTGATGTTTAATATTCACAAGATTGATATGCATTTAGCAATCATTATATGACTAAAAATATTGGTAATGCTATTTAATGGGATTGGGAGACTAAATTATATGTTATTTAAGTATAATTTAGATATATTGTTATCATAAATCCTAACTCGTTCTTTAAGAAATATTATAAGGTGATCTAATCAAATCGAATTATCAACAAATTAGAAATTTTTCACTGTGATGATGATTCTTTACCTTTTAACTTACCTCTGTCTTTCAATTTCATTTCTCGAATTGCAGATAGTACATCGAGATTTGGCTGCTCGAAATGTGTTAATTGACCACAATGGGGTTTGTAAAATATGTGACTTTGGCATGTCTTTAGACCTGGGAACGGCGAAGGTAATCTCTCTTCCCAGTGGAGCAGATAGCGCCCGCCGCAAGAGAAGAAGGCCTTTGCGCAGGCTGAAATTACCAGAGTCGAGGACAGTAGGTTAGTAGTTATTTTATAAATATTGATTTGTAATTTATAATTTTGAAGTTGGTAATAATGGGATAGTTACTTGTTTCAATTTTTTTTAATATATATTAATTTATAAATCTTTCCTGAAATAGACAACAAGTGAAACTGTAGGAGTTTGGATGATCCTCGAGACAGTTTTTGTAACTGCCTAAATGTGTTCTTATTTCATTGTTTTTCTATTGTGTTTATATCTTTGTTGTGTTCTCTAAGTAATTTATTTTGGCATCCTTCAATTTTTATTAAGTTTGATTTGGAAACTGATCCCCATAGTTGTACACCGTATGTCCAAATTGGCTTAATAATAGTCAAATTGTAATTATAATTATGAATTTTAAAGTTTTTTTCTGCCAGTCCAGCACAATTTGTGTGATAAATGACGATATCAACGTCTTAAATAAATATTGAAATATTTTTGCGGTTTTGCAATGACCGCAATTCACCAAAATTAGGTCTTGTTAATTTAATTTCTTTATTATATGTCACAAAACATTTATGCAGTTTACTTGGTCTCATTTATTTGCTATTGAGATTTGGGGTATGTAAAACATACTGAATCATGATTTCTTGACACAATTTTTGTATTTACTTTATTTATTTAGAGTGCAGTAATTTGCAACCTTTGTGTACAAAATACATTTAATTTAATTTTAATTTAATTTGCAATACATGAGACTTTTTTATAAGATTTAACAGTATACTTTAAATGAGCTTAGCATATAAAATATATTTTTTATATATAGAATAGATAGAATCTCACTAATCCGGCAACATTAAAAACCAGACAGTGCCGGATTACTGGATTATAGTGAAGAAGTCATAATTTTTAATATATGATATTGGAAATAGCGGAAAATTTGACCAATTTTAAAAAAAATGTTCAGTGCTTTGGTCGTCCAGGATTGGATTGTTGGAGGTGTCGCTTTATTAATCTACTTATCTAATTAATTTCATAATTGATTTTTAGCAGGTGCTAATACAAGACAAAGACCAGCAATGCCCATCAGGTGGATGGCACCAGAATCGCTACAAATGCATCTGTATAGCACAGAGACAGACGTTTGGGCATTTGGAGTTTTACTCTGGGAAATTTTCACGTTGGGTAAGGTTTTAAATAATTGAAATTATGTGAATTTCTTCTCAGATTTATTAAGGACGTAGGTTTTAAAATCATAAAGGCATATAATCAATTTTATGCAAACTTGATCATAAATAGATTGAGTAAACTCTAAATTCAATTGAAGACGTGTCTGAACATTTATTAAATCCCATAAAGCTGCCATTATCTACAGACAACCGTTACCATTAGTAAAAGCACGTTTTATAGTTATTGGTTGTATTGAATTTAGAAACACAAAATCTATTAATAAATTCTATAATATCTAACGTTCTACAATTAAATTATATGATGATTTTATGGCGCATTTTGAATAGCTAATTTATTACTGCTATTGCGTTTTCAACAATTAATTGTTTAAATACCATTTTCTAATTGTAAGATCAATTCGTATAATTGATCATAAATAAAAGAATTTGGATTTCATCAAGAATTTAATATGCGTGTTGCAAAATAGCAAGAAACGAGCCAAGATTTATTATAGTACAAGAAATTCAGATTTTAATTAGTTGATGTTGATTGACATTTAATTACTCCGCTTTAATACTACAGAACATTAGTAAGTATAATTTCACCTGTTACATAATAAAAGTTAATGTTACGTTGAGTGCAGATGATTTATGATTTATATAAAAAAAAACATTGAAGTGGTGGTGTTGGAGGTTCAAATGGAAGGTTGAAGGAGTTTAGAGAATAAATACAGCCATTATGATAAAAAAAATTCTTTATCTCAGGCTGCACGCCTTATCCAAACTTAAGTGGTCGCGAAGTTGTTCGCCTGGTGCCTTCTGGTCTGCGGCTCGAGAGTCCTCGTAGATGTTGCGGAACTTTGCTGAATCTGATGTCCAGGTGCTGGAAGTCGGACTCGGCACAAAGACCGACTTTTGCCGAAGCCCGGCACGATCTGACCGCCCTGCACCGTGCAGAGTCTGCCGCCCTGGACGCCATGGACGATGCCTCAACGACGGACTGTTTTGATGTCAGTGGATTCAGCGAGGACTACGAAAATGGAGTTGTGTATTTTGATAGGCGGATTTCGGAATTTGAATGTGATATTTGATTTAGGCTCAAATTGCACATCGGGAAAATCAAATTATTATCTAGCTTTGTGCAATTGGGAGGGAACATCGATTTGCAGATACTTTCTTGAGCAAATATTTTTATATTTATCAAATGCATAGTATGGAAAAGTCTCTAGATACTTTGGTCTAGTACCTGGATTATAGCGAAATTAGCCAAATTTTCAATTATATAAACAGAAAATTATTTAGGCTCAAATTGCACATTGGCATTGAATTTGTCCGAAATTGATATTTCTAGCTTCGTATAATTGTTATTAGAAGCATTGATTTTTTTTTGGAATACAAAAAGGCGTTCAAGTGAAGGAAAAATTGATTTGGAGATAATACTTGAGCAATATTAAAAATTTATGGCAAATTTGTTAAATTGATGCTTTGTTTTAATATACCTGCATTAGCTCATTTTTCAATCATTTGCAAAGAACAAGTTCTATTTATTCGCAAAGCTGGAATTTTTGTGAAACATTCCAAAATTTTTGTAAATTGATATGTTAAATAGTATTATATATTTAATTTGTCGTTGATATCAATTCAGAAAATAAATGACTTGATAATTGGGCGAATTATTGTAAATTTTGAATATTTGTTAGTTAATAATATATAACGTTAAGTTCTTAAGAAAACCATTTAAATTTTTAAAAATTGAATAAATAAGAATACAAAATATTTATATTCCAAATTTTGCTTAGAAAGCATATTATTAATATTATTATTATATTTACATTCATATTTATTATTAACCTGAGAAATTATGATAGAATTGATTTAGGTAGATTAGGAGTATGAATAAGATATGCACTGTTTATAATTTATAATATGTGATAGAAGTTATATATTTTATATTACATTAAAATCAGTATATTTTGAATATTCTAATATGAAAATATTGTGCAGCCGATAGCTATTTTGCAATTTTAAACAGTACAAATTCTACAAAAAGTGGAAAGAGATACTTTATTGATCCAAAATGACTTGTAAATAAACAAAAATTTATATAGAGTAATTGGAAATAGTCTGATATATAATTATTCATGTTATATTTGCATTATACAGTTAATGTTTAAAATATTTTTGAAGAATTTATTTGGATTATGATCCAAAATTGTCAAAATCAACCAAAGATGTTGAATGACAAAATTTATTTTAAATATATGTACATATTGTTTTACAATGGAGCACTTGAAAAATAGTATTACTACATTGATACGTTATTTATAATCAACATTTTAATATTATTTTGCTTCATGATTTTTCATATCATCACACTCACATCTAAAAAATTGTATATAAAATTATAGTTTGATGGCTAGCAAATGATTTTGCTAAAATGAATATTTTATTCTATGGACAATATTTTAGCATTTCAATTTTATTATTCATCAGTTAAATATATGAGCATTCGTTCATAGCTCGTTATTTTAAAAGAATATGAATTACTATATGGACCAAAAAAAATTAAAGGACTGCGTTACAAAATAATTTAAAAAACTTAAATATAGCACTGTATAAATTAAAAATATTATGTAAAGAATATATTAACTATAAGTTTAAGAAATACACATAGAATGTGCTACAGAATATCGCAGTATTGAATCTTAACAAATTAATTAATCGGAATTAAAAAATTAAATATATATATTTATGTTCTAGTCTTGTAAATTAAATTACACATGATTTGTAATAAATTAGCCTTTATGACAAAATGTTGATAGTTGTATTTGTAATATGTTTGTATTTTCAGAAATAAAAAAATAAAAATATTCAACGTTTTTTGAAAGATTTGTTACATTATTAAAATTTATATGCTAATAATCTCAACTTTTGATGTTTTCTTTTAGGATTTTATGAAGACTGAAAAATTCAGTTATTACATATATCGCAGAATGAAGTAAAATATAAATTATCTGATTTAGAAGAATTGATATATATTTAGTTGAGGAGAGAAATGAGATGTGGAAATATATGAATATTTTGATATCTGAAACACCTGAATGACTACTACTATTAATACTTGAGTACAAACAGGTATGATAATACAGGTGAATTATTTGTTGGTACAAATATATATATATATATATATATATATATATATATACAGTTAACAAAATTATTTATATGCATGTACGTGTAAATATTTTTTTAACCTTGTTAAAGTATATCTAATACAATTTTTTACTTCTCAAAGACAAAGTTTATGTTTTTGCCAGAAAATCCCAATCGTTAGTTGCAGGCTTTCTCAAAGTTTTTTAGTCATTCTGAATCGTTTGAGACCAAAATTGTAGAAATTATGTGAGCTGAAAGTTTACGTTTTTTCCGAGGGGTCTGCACCAATTTTAAAATTGATTTGATAAATCTGGATGAGGAACCGCGATGATTATTTTTGCTAAGCATTTTTTTAGAATTAACAAGAAAGTGCAAAATAAGTATTCCAGGTTTTTGTCAAAAATACTCAATAGATTTTGAAAATTCGAAAACTTTTCAAAAATATCAGTTGGAAGACATGTTGGTTAATTTTTGGCAAATATTAGTCGGTCTGCTTCTTCGCAAATAGTACACACAAAAAATGACAATTTCAGGGAAAATTGATCAGGGAGTATGGTAATAAAGTTCATGATTTTAATGAACATCTTACAATATCATAGTCTAAGACAAATGGTTCAATTATTATCATTCATGAAAACATGAAATAATGAGCTGTGATTTCAGGACATACACTAAAAACGATCTAAGTACAGATTTTATATGTTTGTTTGAAAGACCAAATTTTTCATTAATTAAATCGATTATTTACACATGTCGATAAGTTCATGCAACTCGCTTTGGTAGAATGCCACTTAAACCTTGTTTCTAAAAGATTCTTACATGTTGGCATAAATTGGAAATTCTTTAGAACATTTGTTTCATCCAACAAACGTTTGCAAATCTATTACTGATGATAAATTATGTTCTAAAGCACAGTAAACCTAGATAAAACTTGTTTATCATTATAAAAGTGACCGCGTGTTATTCGCTCAAAACCGGTGAGAAATTGAATGCTAACATTGATGTTTTTCAATATAGTTTTCAAAAGTCTCATTAAAAAAATTAATCGACCGATCATTGCCAAAAAATAATCAGGACCTTCCCAGGCTGCTCCCCAAATGGAATTGAAAACTTTGGATGGATAATAATATAATACAGTATATTATTTATCATGGATCATACATTTATCATTTATCCATACATTTATAGTTTATATTATATTAGATTTGTCAGTTTGTTTTCTAATCAAGATCATGTTCTTGACGGATGTCCTGAAGATGACAATAAATAACGTCGACAATAAATAATATTTTTTTAAAAAAACATTTTGGTTTTTTTGTTATTTGTTGATGTCCTTATTTGAAAATCAGCACAACAATATATAGGATATACTTTTGTTTAAAATTTTAGAAAAACTAGAACCTTGTTTATAATCAAACTGCACATCAGTAGTATGAAATTGAGCAATCATGTTGTCAAGACCTTTGGAAGCAATTTTATCCTCATTCACCAAGTATTTTACTTGTCATTATTAAATCGACTCTATATTACATATTATTAGATTCTTCACCTGTCCAGTAGATTCATTTATTGGAGGTAAATTAGTCATCTGAATAGCAACTAGATATGTAACTTTCACTGAAAGTTGTCTGATTTGCTTCATCAAGTTGATATCGGATCGCATTCGATTATTTTTCTACCGCTGCACTGGTGCAGGAAAAATTGAAACATGTTTTTGAATAAGTAAAAGTAGTAAAAGTTAGAAATACCTATGTAAGTATTGCAAGAAAAATAATAAGAAGAACTTGCACTTGAACCTGAATTCATTTCTAATAGTTGCTGCAAATTTCATGGTTGGGAAATCAATCTTTAGAATAGGTAGATGGTAAAGCGATTGAATTTGGAATCTTGATTTTTATAGAAAAAAAAATTAAATTTTCAATTGTGGGTTCTAGTTTGCTTAATGGATATTGTTCTTTTTGTATGAAGTATCCCAAAAGGGATATTAATTTTATGGCTCTATTCATTTATATCTTGCCAGAGTAGTTCTTTTTCAAACTTTCGTATGGGTATAATACCTATCAGATTTTTTTTTTTTTTTTTAAAGTAAGGGTATAATATATTATAGTATGAAGCAAAATTTAGAGCAAAATAATGTTAAAATTTTCTCTCTATTGTTCAATTTTTTGGCATAAACATATAATTTATTTCAATATTTTTTTATTAGTTTATTGGCTTCTATGTAATATAAAAACGAGCTTTTGGAACTACATAGAATAGTTATCAAGATAATAAAAATAAAATATTTTATATAGCTACAAAAGCTGAATACGTTGAAAAGTTGTTTTTTTGGTTGACCAATTATTATATAATATGAAATTATTTCCTAAGATTTTGGAGCTCTATCTAATATTGATCAGAACAATAAAAATTATGATTAATAAAAAACTGAATTTTATGATATATAAATACAGTTCTTATATAAAATTAACCATCATTTTTATCATCCAGATAAATTAATAAAGTTGGTTATTAATCTGTTTTTTTCTGGTTGACCAATTATTATATGAAATTATTTCCAAAGATTAATTGTGATTATAATTTTTATAACAATAAAAAGCAACGGTATGAAGTTTTGATGATTTTTTGAACTCATTTTGTTCATTACAGATTTTATCAAAAATTAATTGCAAGTTCAGCAAAAAAGTTTTGTTTAGATCCAGAATAGAATATAAAAGTACTCATTTCACGTTTTAAAATATTATGAAGAAAATTTGAGTAATGTGTTTTATCATTTTTGATAATGAAAAAATCAAAAATGGTAATTTTTGCATATCTTTACGTTTTAAGGTCTTCTAAACATTTTGACATTTTTGTTAGAAAAAAATGATGTATGTGTTACTCGATTTGAATAATTTATACAAAATTTCCAAAAGATTTTAAAGTAAAGAAAAAATCAAATTTTTCAAAAAGTTCATTTTTTTTTCAAAAAATTTAAAAATCTCAAAAATTGATTTTTTTCATAGTTAAAATAAAATTGAATCTTTCGTAAAAATTATAATTTTTGTACGGAAAGTTCCAGCAATTTGCCTTAAAGCATGATGCCATGCACCACTTGTTTAACTCTCTTTCAATATTTGGTTCCAAATATTGTAAATAATTACACCAAATATTTTTTTAATATTTTCTATTTTCACACATGTGCTTTTGAACGAAATTATGAAATTCTTAACGAATGTATGAAGATACAGGCTTTTGTGTTAAACAAA